AAAAAAAAAACTATTCTGTATGTATATTTTTGTAGCAACTCTTTGTCGGAATCAACAAAATATCGACAACAATTTTGGCCCAAGAACAAAATCTGTTGAATAAAAATAACAGAAAACTAACCGAAAACTTACAACTAATTTATAAGACTTCCATGGCGCAATACCCCAAAAAAGAAGTTGGCCTCCGCTGGTAGCTGTTTGGTTGGACAGTGGGGGATGGTTGGACCAGCTGCATGGCAAATTGGGCTCAGTAGTAGCTGGTTGCTGGTCCGTACCAATAGAAAATCTACAACACAAAAATACAGCTACTAGAGACAAGCAAGTAAGTAAGTAACTAAGTACTACCGCTGGTGCAGGCAAGCATTATATGTGAGTGGTTCCACTTGGCTGGTTACACACAGAGAACCTCCACACTGAGAGAAATTAGTAGCAAAAGAAACACAAATCTCTACATAGACTTTAGCAAAATCATTCTGCATTTTTTAAGCACTTTTCTGGGTATCATTTTCATGGCACGAAGATAATCGTAACTTGCGAATTATTCGGACATTTTCATATATTTTTGTGTGGTGTCATATTTATGGCACATAAATTATATTAATTAAATTATTTACTATTTTTTTTTTGTATGTTCTGTTTTGGTTCCAGGCTCGCCAATTCTTATCTGAAAGCCTTAATCGTGCGCATGCGCAGCCGTTTCCCCTAGTCTCAAATGCATTTCTGTCATTTCGGGCTGTGGCTGCCGAAAATGTAGACAGATTTTATTGGTCAGACCAAAGCGCAGAGCAGTGGCACTTGCCGCATTAAGCGTTGCATTTGGTTAGTTTTTGTTTTGTTTTTTTTTTAGTTTCTATTACAAAAAAAATGTTTTCTTGCGACTGTGTTTGTTTTTTTGGCTTTTGGAGTAGCTCAAGGTTTTGGCAATACGACTTGCGCAATTCCGCTGTTGCCGCCAGTGTATGAACGTGGTATTTGGTCAAAACATCGAAGGTAACTCAAATTCTTGCTTAAGAATGTGGCGGTCGTTAGCGGATGGGGCAGCTGTGAAACGCTTTGGCCAATGCCATTCGAAAATCTGATGAAGATTATCTTGTGCCTCGAAATTAGGTGAAAAACTATTCATTTGTCTTCAATTCAGTTGCTGCAGCAGGGAAAACCAACAGCATGACGACCAAAAATTATGAAAAATCTCCAGTCATGCTGCCACTACCTGCTGAGCCGATGAATTAGCTGGAAGCAGAGCCAGACCTCGCTCTCTCTCTCTCTCTCTTTCTCTCTGTGGAACACCTGGAACACCTACAGAGAGCAGAAACAGTTTCAAAATTCGGCTAAGCGCGGGAATGAGAGAACCTGGAAACTGTACAACAAGTTGAGCACAGCAGCGTACCGGGGGTAAGAGCGCCCAACTGCAATAGCAATATTGGTACCTGGAAAATCCCTCTCTCATTGCAGTCCGCTCCTGAGTAACCAATCTCAAATGCTCTTATCTATTTGTTGTTGGGTTTTGCCTTGGATGCGATGCCGAGTTTAGCGACGAAGTCAGCAATTGCTGACAGGCAGAGCAACGAAGATAGAGAGAGGAAAAGAGAGAGAGAGAGAGTGACGTGCCGTGCCGTGCCGTGCTGACCATAGCAGCAGCGGAAATCTCATTCCAGTCTTTCGGCATTCCAAGCGATTCGAATCCCAGGCCAAGCCTAGCCACGCCGAGCATGGCATTTCATCGTTCATTTCAAAATTGAATCCAGCAACGAGCGGTTGTGCCTTGTCTCAATACGCAGTCTTCTATCTATAAGTAGCTGTAACTCCAGTCTGACTGTACCTGCCAGTAATTAGAACCTTTGTACTCTACGCATTTGAGGTGACAAATCAAAAAAGCATATTTGTTTACCGTGATCTACGTAGAGAGATTAAAACTGTGTCGATTACCGTGTTAAATCAACTGAATATTAAGTGTGATCTTAACCCCGTAAGACTCAGACACGTGTTGCTAACGGATTCCCATTCCGTTAGTCACTCGATTATATTGTAACTGCTCAATGCCACGTTCTTGCTTCACACACGCAACACGTTGGCCGAGGCAAAGATTACGAATTGTGTAGGCTAGATTAAGCATTAAACTTCCTGTGATTGAGACACGCTCCAGCTTCGTTTTCTCACAAAACTATGCATATATTTAATGCTGAATCTATGTACATAGTTCAGGAAGTTACTAAAATTTACTTGCAGCTGCAGGAACAATTCTAAATTTTAAACTTTAATGCTTAACATAAACAATTTTCGATGAAAGCGGCGGCATTGCCGAAGAAAAACAATACGAAGAAATGAAAAATGGTGATGGCGTGGAGGCACGTGTCAAGTAGATAGAGAAGATTACTTCTCTTTGACGGGCTGCGCCTTGCGGGTCTTTGGCTCTGGGGGATCAATCAGGTTGCCGTGGCGCACAACATCGATGTGGCCCAGGCGTATCATTTTCTCCTCCCAAACGGTAATGGCTTTTCTGAAAATCAAACGTTAGCAAATGGTCTACATGTACTGAGAGCATAACCCACTTGTAGAGCTCGAGCTCCTTGCGTGTGTCTTGAAGGTAGACGGCCTTCTCGGCATCGGAGAGGCGGGACCACTTGGCCGTCGTCTTCTGATGCCACTCACGGTACGTCTGCTGTGGCGGTTGCGGTGTATTCACGCGCTCACTGACGATAAAGCGCAGGAAGGCTGAGGCCGGCTTCTTGGGGCGTCCAAGTTCTTTGACCCGCTTGCGCAATTGCCGGCGCTCCTTGGCTTCGACAATGTCCTGCTTCAGCTGCTTGATGCCGGCACGCTGCTCGTCAGTCAGCGTGGCGTCGTACTTTGTACGCTGCTCAATGTACACCTGCTGGTCCTTCTTAAACTCGACCTGCAGACGCTCCTTCAGCTTGGTGTCTGCATCCACCCAGCTCTTTGCCAGTTGGCGCACCACCTCAATGGTGGTTATGCTCGGGTTGGTAGCAATCAGCTTTGGTCGCATCTCACGCATGAATCGGAAATACGGGGTCAGTGGCTTCTTGGGACGCGGTGGTAGGCCCACCTGCTCCTCGAGTGTCTTTGACTGCTGCACGGGACTGTTGCTGAGGTTGGCAACGGCCAGGGGTCTGTTGGCGCATGATGTTGTGGGTGTAAATTGTTTGTCGATTTGAATGGGATGTGCAGAAGAGTCGTGAGTTTTGGCTACAACTTGCCTGACTTTGTTGATTAGCGATCCGATGATGGACCCACGCGACAATAGCGTTGTTGTATAAATCATTTTGAGGCTTTGTTCTCCTGCTATAGAGCTGTGAATTAATTCTTGTAGCTCGCTTAGAATACGGATTTAATGTTGTCGATTGAAAAGGCAAGGAAAACTTGTTGCATTTGTTGCTAAAATGATTTACGTAAAAAATGCGGCATTTGCTGGATGTAGAGCTGTCAACTTGTTGGATTTGTTTAGTAAACATAATCGATAGTTTTAATATCCCGACCACAGAGCAGTGTTCGCATTTCAGCTGTTTTCCCACTAGATCTAGCGTTTTCTATTGCCAAATGCGGGATCCACTACCGGGAATTATAGCTATTTTAAAAACAATTATCGGCGTCACCGCTGACATTAATTATGTTGGCTATTTCTAGCTTTTTTATGACCCGAAATTGTGGCAACACTGCCACAGAGCTGCCATGTTACAGCTGTTGCTGCCTGCGGTTAACCTGAAAATTTGCGAGCCTTTATTGTTAACTAAGCCCAAGATAAACAGATTACTAAAGATGACCAACAATGATGCAGCAGTGGAAGCGCCCAGTTCCAGTCGTGCCAGCTCCAATAAACAGCAACCAAAACTGGAAATCACCGAGAGAGTACGCGTCCTGTGCCTGCACGGATACCGCCAAGACGGCGATGCTTTCAAAAACAAACTCGGATCATTCCGAAAATTTACATCGAAATATGCCGAATTTGTGTTCATCTCTGCGCCACACATTGCAGCACCGCTAGAGTCTGCTGCCGAGCCGGTACCCCAGCAACGCAGTTGGTGGGCCAACAAAGACGATGGCACGTTCAAGGGCACCAACAAGGGAGGACCGGCTTTTGGCTTCCAAGAGAGTCTGCGGCTCGTGGAGGAGGCCTGGAAGACACAAGGGCCATTCCAAGGACTTCTCGGCTTCTCCCAGGGTGCCTGCTTCGTGGGCTTGATCTGCGGTCTGGCCAAAAAAAAGTGTAAGCAGATCGGATGCTGGGATGATTTCAATGGTTAATGTCCATTTTCTACCCCTTTAAGTGACGTCCATTCGGCCTGAGTTTGCAGTGCTTTCCTCGGGCTTTGTTTCCGGCAGTCTGGTACATATGAGCGCCTACGAAGAGCCCATCAGCATTCCCACCCTCCATATCTATGGCCTCACCGATGAAATCATACCCAAAGACATGAGCGCATCGCTGGCCTCACACTTTAAGAATGTCGAGGTCTTGGAGCACAGCGGCGGCCACTATTTCCCGGCCACGGCGCAGCAGAAGCAAACGTACATCAACTTCTTTCAAGATCGACTGCAGGAGTACCTGGAGCACCTGGAGCTGCAGCAGAGCAGCAGTGTCTCCTTCGTTGAGAGCGACGACGATGGCGATGCCAATGATGCTGAGGTGGCCGCTGCAACGGCGGCCGCTGGCTCCGATCTGGACGATAGTGATTAGCGGAATTTTCGTTTCTTTCTTTCGTTTTTTTTTTTAATAATAATTAAATCTTATTATTACAAAAATAATAATTTGATTATAAATTATAATAAAAATATTTAGTTAGGATCCCAATAATTTACTGTTGAAATATTCACCGTTTTCACTGCTTTTGGATCGAAGGATTGAGGATTGCATTTTTTTTTTTTTTTTGTATGACTTTCGTGTATTTTTTTTAGTTTTTCTTCAACAAATTCGTATAAATTTCATAAAAAAAAGAAACAAATAAACTGCGGATAAAGACTAAAGCCGAAATATTTTAAATCCCAAATCCAAAGTACAATAATTTTGTATTCAAATCAAATTTGTTTCTCGCTAAGAAACGAACAAAAAATGCATATTTAGCTATTGTTGCTGCAGGTTGCAGGCTGTTTTGTGTTGTTGTTATTAATGCGGTTTTTAGTTTAGTTATTTGTTCAGGCAGAGAAAGAGAGAGAGGGGGGAAGGAGAGAGAGTAAAAATCGTAGTACAATTCGAAACATTTTGCATTGCATCGAGCGTTGACTCTTCGGTTGTTTTTTGTTTTGTTTTTGTATATTTTTGTATGGGACAAGCGAGAGCAACAGCGTAGATCTGCTAGTAAATCCCCCAATTTATTTTGTCGTATGGCGTCAACTAAGTTTTATCCCTCGCAAGCAACGGATAGCAGATGGGGGGAACGGGTTTAGCTGCTCTCAATGTCTGCCTGTTACTGCTGCTGCCGCTGCCGCTGCTGCTGCTGCTACTCATGATGGATGTTTAATTATGGTTTTGGATTCTAATTTATGCAACTGCCTCCTGTCCGTTTGAGGCCTCTTGGTTTTTCATCACTTCGGGTAAGTCGGGCGGTGCTGAGTATGGCGTCATATCCAGTGTCTCAAAGTCGCCCATATCATTTCTAGAGCAAAGAAAAAATAAATACATTAATCCAACCCATTCGCATTGACTCGCATTGACTCGCATTCGTCTCAAATGAGGGGAGGGACACGTGCACACACGACAGCTGATAACCTGGCTTATCAGCGACTCTCGGGCAAGCTCGCGTTATTAAAACCCATACCTGAATGTCAAGCCCAGCTGCGCCGGCGACTGTGCCTTCGCCGTGGAGACTGTCACACCGTAGTCCTGCAACGTGCTGTCATCCTCCATGATGTCGTTGTCCTGATTGTATAACCGCTGATCGACGACTTGTACTTTCAGAATGCCTAGAATACCAATCAAATTACTTAATAATCAATCTATGTTTTCATCTACAACCAAATCGACTGCTCTATAAATAGGAACAAACAAGCAGAAAACACCGACGCAACGCACACGCTCTTTCGCTCACCTTCAATCATACGCTTCAGCTCGGCAACGGTTGTGTTCTCCTTGGCATCCGTGAAAATCGTCGTCTTCTGCCTTCTGATCATCAGGAATACATCCTGCAAGGGGAGGAGGGTGGTGGATTAACAAAAAGGTTCTTTCGGTCAAAGTTCAGTGAATCAACCAGCGGCGGCAGCGACGACGACGACGGCGGCAGCGCAAGGCACGGCACTTTTGTATGTCACGATTATTCACTAGGCACGTCCGCGTGTGCGTGAGCGTATGTGTGTTTGTGTGTGTGTGTGTGCGTGCATATATGTATTTGATGAGCCGAAAGTCGTCGTCGTCGTCCTGCAGCTGCTGGAGGGCCGGGGCCGGCTTTGTGGGCACGCTCACCATGTTTCCAAGTTTGTTTTGTTAGTTGCCTTTTGTTTACTACTGCGAGCGCTCAAAGGTTACTACCACTACGTTGTTGTTGTTGCTGCTGCTGTTTTTGGCGCTGGCCGATGCTGCTGGTGGCGTGGGCGGCGCTTCCTTTGGCGGTCGTAGGTGTTCGATCGGCTGGATTTTATCTATTATGCTTACACCACCAGTTGTCGGAGCGCTGCTGCTGCAATCTCTTGATCCTGGCCGTGGAAGTGTTTGTCCAGAGTTTCCAAATTGTACGCCGTGCAACAGCTTTCCGCTCTAACCCCGCACTTGTAAGTTTTCGTAGTTTTTACGATTTTTTCAGGCCCGTTCCTCCTTGCTGCTGCTTTCTCAACCAATCATTTGGCGGTGCTGCCAACGTGTTTCAAGTGTGAGCTCACACCCTGGTCAAACAATCAAACAGCGAGTGTACATTTCGTGGTATGCCGATAAATAATTAATACTCACTTTAGTTTTCGTCGCAAAACCGCTTGTACCGCTTGTTCCAGCAACTTTGTATTATTAATCTGTCCCTGTTTTGTTGAATAAATCTAATTTCGTATTGCTGTAGCCCTGGTTTACAGCAAGAAATTTACTAAAAAATACCAAATCAACTGTCAGTGTCACTTTTTTCTAATTTTGTTGCCACGAAATATGGTTTTGCTCGACAACTCGAACGTAAATAAATGAAATATACTTGAAAACCTTACGAAATAACTAACAAAACACTTGCTTACAGTTCATACTCCGCCTGGAGAAGATTGCGAATGCGGCCAAGAAAGACTCGTCTTTTACGGTAACGTTCAAACGCTGTAAGTATCACACACTTGCGAAGATTCCACTCCGCACACCTGCATATGAATCGCTAATTTGCCTCATCACTTCCAGACGATGGCAACAACAAGCCTGTGCCCAGAGCTGGAAGACCACCGTTACCCAAACCAGATGTCTACACGTGCCTGGTGCGAGCCCAGTGCAAGTCTCAAAAGGCAAGTACGCCGCAGGCGTACAGTAATCGGCGTTTATTGACAGAAATTTTGTTTTTTTCGACAGATTTCGACAGTTGTGCGGCAGGAGGATGTGCCCACCATGATGGGCATGTACTCGCAGTTCATGAAGAGCAAAATGGATGGCCTGAAGCGTGTGAAGAAGGTGAAAAGCAAGGCCAAAGCGACCAAGGGATAGTGGGGGGTTTAGTTAAAGAATTTAGTTGCCTTTTAAATGCATTTTCTTTCGTAATTTTTGTGCGTTTTTGTTAACTATAATTCAATGGGACAATAGACATCCTTTTGGACGCACAAATCTCGCAACCACTTGGGCAATTTGTTTTCCCGTAGCCCGTATATGTGCTTTGGTCGAATCAGCTGTACGAAGGCATAGAGATCTTCGTGGATGGGCTGATTATCCCCCAGCAGCGATTCGTCAATGTACACGATATCGATGCCTTCGCCGAGGACACGATGGAAGGGTGCACTGCCTTTGGGTATAAAATCTAGAAAACCAGACAATTCATCCACAATCAGTGCTCTGGTGTGTCCATCTGTAATGGGAGTCTGCAATGAGTACTTGTGTGGCCATCATTTACAGGATAAACTCACTCTCTATGCAGTAGATGTTTATGTTTATCCCATCTCTGTTTTTTCCTGCTGGGAACAGCGTCAAAGTGATCTTTGTTTGGTCGTAGTGCACTTCTGTCGGGGTGTTGGGAACTATGACTTGTTGAGTACTGTATTTGTAGATCTCTTTGACATCGGTCTGTGATCGCAGCCGAAACATATTCTCACCGGACCCAATGATGTACGCGCACCATTTTGTGGGCACTTCGTGCTCTTCGAAGGCGGCGGACGTCAACAGAAGGACTCCATTGTGCTGAAATACTCAGTGTGAATAATTATGGGTACATATTGGAGCTACCTACGTACCTCTTCAAAAGGTCCATACTTTTTCCGCGCATTTAGAATCAGCGGCTGTCCAAGATCATTCAAAAACATTTTTTATATCCATACAACGCACAACAACAATCCAGAAATACCGGTATCGATAACACATGCGATGTGATGATATTTCTTCGACTTTGATTTTTGTTTTCATATTACAAGCTAGTTGTGTCTCTCAGCACTAAAAATATAATTTTATCAGAGACATTTGATAATTTTCTACAAGATATGCTAGTTTAAGTGCTCACTTTAAGTGGATTGTTTATAATAAATGGGTTAATTTAAAATGGTCAACAACACAACTTGCTTACATGGCAACTACATCTACGACTATCGAAAGAGGGACTTGTGGGCCATCGATAACTGTTATCGAATTTGAATTATAGAATTCCTTTAAAATAAAACATCTTTTTGATTTGTGTTTAGTAGCATTTATCTTTATAAGTATACGGGTATTTTAACTCCTCTTTATACTGTTTTTCTCTATTATCTATCACAATGAATATTTTTGTGTACGAGTGTTTAAATGTTTGTGTGTGAGCATAAAGCAAATTTGATTGTTACCCAAAATATTTAACGTTGTGTGTCTTTGAATCAAGTTAAATACTTTGGGTAACATTCAAATAGATCTATGCTAGCAATAAACTCGTTTGTTTACAAACAACTTTATATGCACATAATGTAGTGTATAATTTTGTTCAACTTTTTCAGTTTTGCTGCTGGAACAAAGGCAGTCTCTTGTGCAATATGTCCGAAGGATGTTCGGCTGCACACCTCGATATTGCGATTGTAACCATTACTCGACATTTGGCCATTAATGAGCAAGTGTGTGTGTGAGAGTGTGTGCGTAAATGTGGACAGGGACGAGGGAAAAGGGATGCTTACATGGGGAGAGAATAGATGAAAACATAAAGGAAGGCCTCTACTACTCCTTCATTCGCCTGAATACATGCGAACATGCGAATTGCTTGGCTCGTCGGCCATGAGATCTGTGCTGGACTGTGAGTGGCGGCGTGTGCCCGGCCATGACCAAGCATCGCGTACGCTGTCAATGAGGCGCTGCGAGAAGGTCTTGTACTCCATATCCACCGACTGTGTGTCCCCGAAATTGAAGTCGGCCACTTCCACGGTAAAACTGTGCCAAGAAATTAATATACGATTTAGTATTGCTTTCTGTGGAACTCTCTCTGGTTGAACTCTTACCGATTCCGCCTCTGTATGTAGTACGCAACGCCAAAGACCACGAGAATAACGGCCATCAAACTGCAAATGACAGGAACAACCACAACGGAAAGCTGAGACTGTTTCTGGGCTGGAAATATCACAAGTTCAGGCCGTCATAAAACTGAAGTAATAAATTATCTTTGTACACATACCCTCGTACATGTTGATGGTTATCTGATTGACTGTCTGCGAGACCTCATTGCGGATGAAAAAGAGTATGGTTTTGCTTTCGGAGAAGTAACGCTTGTAGCTAAACGCACACTTGTCATACACATCATTGAAGTTGCATGTCTCATTGCCTGTGGCATTGTAGGGTGCTGCAAGAGGACAAAGTTATTGCTTATTGCGAGAAGTAGGGCAGCCGCTTACCATTGTAAACCTTCTCGCAGACACTGAATGGCGGCGAACCCTTGCAGCTGACATCCAAGCTCAGCACCTCCCAGTGCTGCAGCCAGTTCTTGCCGGTGGTGGCAAAGCTTACAACCGGATCCTTGGACACAACGCGATGCTGGAAGTAGCCATAGATCTTTTTCGGATCCTGCGCAATGATTTGTCTGTCCACGCAGTTGTAGGGCGGCTCCACGCCTGGCAACACACTAAGATGGGAGATCCTCCGCACGCCCAAAGGATTCACCAGGGCCACAGATGTGTTCGCAGAGAAACCATTCTTCTTCTGCTGCTGCTTCAGGGCGCTGGTTAAGTTGAGTCCAAGTATGGCGGCATTGGCGTGCATGGCCTGGATGAGGTCGCGCTTGGAGCGCGTTGCTGGCTTGGGCGTTGTGCTGGTGGTCGTTGTGGCTGGGGTTGTTGTGCTAGAAGTTGTGGAGGTCGTTGTGGCAGGTGTTGTGCTCGTGGTTGTCGTTGTACTGGTGGTCGATGTTGTTGTGGTAGTCGTCGTCGTGGTAGTAGTGGTGGTCGTGGAGGGCGTGGGCTCGGGCGGCCAGTCCAGCGATGCAACGACCAGCACCTCAATGTCATAATATTGCTCAGCCTGTTGATATGTGGCCTGATAGTCCAGGGCACTTGACATGCCTAGATATGTGCAATTTTGAAACCAGTACGTCTGAATGTGATAGCCATTCTGCCGCAGAAACTCTATATCCGCTGGCCACAGCGCTATGCTGTGATTCACTGCCCCTTGGGTGGACACAAAGTCATGCGGCCGCGACGCATTAGCCTGTATAAGCTCCAGCCGGCCGCCCAGCGTGTCATCCAGCTTAATAAACGTTTTATTTTCAGCCACCAATATCCAAAATAGATAGGATTTCTCCACCTTCACTTCCACAGCACGCTCGCCCGGTCGCATGTGCTCTTTGGTGTACTCCAGTGTCCAGTTGCTTGTGGATTTGGTTGTTTCAATCTCCTGCAATAAAAGTAAACAGTAGTTAGTTGCGTTTAAAATGCAAATTAATCAACAATAGGGGGGAAAAGCCGGGGCAGCACGGCCCGCTTATCGCAAAGCGTACCAGGCACGATCGGAAAAACTGTCGCTTAAATTACCATTAAATGCAATGACGCCATTAAATCAATTGACGCCAAGTCAAGCTCTAAAATTAGACCCGGGAAATTTCAGTGACTATTGACACAGCAGAAGCGACTTTCGCACAGCGGATCGTTTGATTCTTTTGGGCAGGTGAAATGCCTGCCTGGAACGTACTTTCTTTTGTGGGTTTATTCAGGCATAAATGGGCGTACCGACCCACAGAAACAAACACACGAGCGGCCGAATCGGTTAAAACGAGACGCATATGCATTTTGCAATTCAAAATGAATCATTAGTCATGCAAACATGCCGAGAATTCTTTTGTTCTTCCCGGTGGATTGCTGTCGTTACCTTGCGATGACCCGCATTGTCCTTCCAAATGAACTTGTAGGTGCCCTCGGGTGCGGGTTTGTCACCGTCGAACAGCGTGGCAGTCACATTCACCGTGGATCCAATGAGCGCCTGGTCGGGTGCATTTATTAGAACCTCGAAACTTGTCACTGCAATTGGAAAAGCATTAGTTTTGGGCCTGAAAGTGGGCCTATTGAGTCCATGCCCCATACCTGTTTGCACAAAAGCGTAGAAAATCAACGTCACCGTCAGTGTGTGGACTGTGCGAGACATTTTCGCAATGTACCGTGTCGATAGGCTTAATGTGGAAAGTCACTTGTGCTGCCGTTGCTCCCTTGCCACCACCCCTGCGCCCATTCGATTATCGTAACAAACAAAAACTATCAAAAACAAACACAAAGAGGGGAGGGTGTACGTTTTTGCACGGAGTTTACACCCACTTTTATAGCTTATAATACACGCTGAACACGTTTAATTGCTTTGGATTTCGATGGAGAGCTGCTTTCCACTATCTGTTCAGCATTTGCAATAGCAGTTCTATTGCGTTTTCAATATGTTCTTACAAAATTCTGCAGGCTGCAGTGTGAAATAGAGATGGGCATGTATCGCAATTTTTCGACACGAGTAAACACGGCACGATATGAACATTTCCAACAGGCACAGTTATAAATTTGCCAAACATGAACCATGTGAACAAACGGAACTTTGATTTTCTGTTTTTTGAGCAAATTAATTGTTCGTAGTGTTTTTCGAGCCGATTTTGCTCACACAAATAAAATTTTTCAAAACGAACACGACTTGGCTTTCGTGGCACGAAGAAAGCACGGCCCAGTCCCACCTCTAGTGTGAATTGAATGGCAAATAGCAGTCTGGCGACTCTCCACACGCAGGGTTGCTACTTTGGAAAGGAATTTTTACCAAGATGGCAGCACTGATTTGATGAATTGAAAATAACGATCGGATTTATGTTTTAGTTATGTTTAAAATACTAATTTTCGTTTTATTCGTTAGTTGTAAATATAATCATATATGCCTGCGTACATACGTGTAGGTGTGTGTGTGTGTGTATGTTAATATTTGAAGTAAACTTAATAGTACAAATGAAATACAACGAGATGAAAAAGCAATAATTACTTTGGGATAAGCAGACCGCACAGAATACTCAATAAATTGCTTAGACGAGCAGGCGACGGACGATACGTCCGCCCGCTTACTTCTTCTTGCTTTTGCCCAACGTGAGCGTG